CGGGGCGGGGCCCCCCGCTGCCGCGGCCGCTCAGAGTGCAGGGAGGAGGCGGCTGCTGTGACAGGAGCAGCGGGCTCAGGACACAGTGCAGGGAGGGGACCTGGTGCCCTGAGTGTCCCCAGCAGCCCCAGGGACACTAACATCACTCAACCTAAAACCAGTGTCCACCCCAGGGCCAGGGCAGAGGCAGCCTGGCTGCAAGGAACCTGCCCAGGACCCCTGGGACAGGACTACCTTGGCGACGATGAACTCCGCATCCTCCGGACTGTCCAGCTGCAGCTTCTGGGCAATGTCAGCCAGAGAGATGCGGGAATAGGAGAGGCTGATCATACGGACACCTGGGGGGAGGAAGGAGAGTGGAGCCCCCTGGGCCAGGCAGCCCCGTGTCCCCAGACACCCCGGCGACCTCCTACCTGTCTTGATGACATTGTGCCTCAGCCTGATGATCAGGGTGTAGGTGCCATCAGCCTGGAACTTGTCCCCAAACTGATCAAGGACTTGGTTGAACTTGGCCAGGTTCCCGGTCCTGACAGCTGGAGGAGGGAAAGTGTTAATTGTGCTAATTGTGGACAGAGCAAGGGCCGGACATGGTGGGAAAGAGGAGAGAAACCTCATCTGAGGCTGCTCCTACCCTGAGTCAGGAGGAAATAGGGCATGAGTGAGCGCTTGAGGGAGGGCTGTCTGAACTGCAGCCTGTCTGGGATCTCCCCCAGCAGCAGCTCCACCACGATCAGCAGCTTGTGCACCTGCAGCGAGAAGAGCTGGTGAGTCCCCCGCCCCGGGGCAGGAGGTTTTGGTCCCTGCAGGGCCCTGCTCCCTCTCACCGTCTGCTTGAAGCCCACGGCCGTGTGCTGCGGCGCCTTCCGCAGCGCGTTCGTCATCGTCCGCCGCGCCTCCGAGTACTCCAGCTGGATGGCCTTGATGCGCCCTGTGCTCGGCAGGCGGTTGGGAAAACTTAATCCAACCGGATCCACGAAGCAAACCCCTCCATCCAGAGCAACTAGGGCCGCGTGGGACCCTGGGCATCTCACCTGTGTAGTAGAGGTACCGAGCCCACTCGTTGTTGTTGGCCTGTTCGGGGAACACTGACTTGGAGACGAGTTTCTCTGCTTGGTCGTAGAGGTTGTAGTGGAGATAGTTCCTCAGCAGGAGGTTCAGGAGGGTGGCCTGTCCATCGGCATCGTGGCGCAGCGTGGCTGTCCGTAGCCGGGCGTGCAGGAAGCTGCAGGAGAAGGAGGGAACGTGTCAGGGAGGAAGAAAGAAACCACCCTGGCTCCCCTGGGGCACCCAGGACCCACCTACCTCCTGACCACGTCGAGTTTGTTCAGGAATTCGTAGATACGGGAGTGGTAGTAATAACATTTTGCCACCACCAGGTCAAGGGCCCGGCGGTTCTGGGAACTGATCTTCTGCATCAGGTCGTCGGACACTTTCTGAGCCTGCAGGAGGGAGAGATCAGAGCAGCTAGGGAAGAGCAGAGAGATGGTCCAGGGAGAGCAGAGAGATGGCCGGGGCAGTGGGATGGAGCCCGAGGACTTCCAAAGGTAGTGGAGGCAAAGGGGAAAGCGTGGGGCTGCAGCCAGACAGGTCCCTGAGGCTCTCCTGGGGCAGAAGCACCACACCAAGAGCTTGGCTGTGGATCTGGCAGCTCTGGAATCTCACCTCCGGGTATCGCTTGCTGTTCATCAGGTAGATGACCAGGAGGAGCTGGAGGTAGGTCTCCACTTCTGGCAGGAGGGGGGCTGAGGCCGCCTTCCCCGTCCGCGGGCGGAACTGCAGCTCTGCTTCCGTGTCCATGGACTGGGGAGAGACACGTGCTGGACCCTGTCCCTCCTGTGCCAACACCAGCAAGGCCTGTCCCCATCCCATCCCCTGTGACAGCTCTGCTCGAGGTGTGACACCAGAGCCAGCCTAGGCTGCTGGCACCAGAGCCCCCCAGCAGCTCATCCCAAGTGTCCCCAAGCCCTGGAGGGACTGTCCCTGGTGCCCTCCCAGCACGGTGGCACTTCCAGGGGCTTCTTGGTGTGGGAAAGGTGTCCCCTCTCTGTCCCCTGCCACTGTACCTCCTCCAGAAAGCCGAGGAGGAACTCCCGCGTGGTGCTGTTGGAGGTGAAGAAGCCGTGGATGGCTTTGTGGAGCACGTTGGAGTTGCTAGGGCCGCGTGGGACCCTGGGCATCTCACCTGTGTAGTAGAGGTACCGAGCCCACTCGTTGTTGTTGGCCTGTTCGGGGAACACTGACTTGGAGACGAGTTTCTCTGCTTGGTCGTAGAGGTTGTAGTGGAGATAGTTCCTCAGCAGGAGGTTCAGGAGGGTGGCCTGTCCATCGGCATCGTGGCGCAGCGTGGCTGTCCGTAGCCGGGCGTGCAGGAAGCTGCAGGAGAAGGAGGGAACGTGTCAGGGAGGAAGAAAGAAACCACCCTGGCTCCCCTGGGGCACCCAGGACCCACCTACCTCCTGACCACGTCGAGTTTGTTCAGGAATTCGTAGATACGGGAGTGGTAGTAATAACATTTTGCCACCACCAGGTCAAGGGCCCGGCGGTTCTGGGAACTGATCTTCTGCATCAGGTCGTCGGACACTTTCTGAGCCTGCAGGAGGGAGAGATCAGAGCAGCTAGGGAAGAGCAGAGAGATGGTCCAGGGAGAGCAGAGAGATGGCCGGGGCAGTGGGATGGAGCCCAAGGACTTCCAAAGGTAGTGGAGGCAAAGGGGAAAGCGTGGGGCTGCAGCCAGACAGGTCCCTGAGGCTCTCCTGGGGCAGAAGCACCACACCAAGAGCTTGGCTGTGGATCTGGCAGCTCTGGAATCTCACCTCCGGGTATCGCTTGCTGTTCATCAGGTAGATGACCAGGAGGAGCTGGAGGTAGGTCTCCACTTCTGGCAGGAGGGGGGCTGAGGCCGCCTTCCCCGTCCGCGGGCGGAACTGCAGCTCTGCTTCCGTGTCCATGGACTGGGGAGAGACACGTGCTGGACCCTGTCCCTCCTGTGCCAACACCAGCAAGGCCTGTCCCCATCCCATCCCCTGTGACAGCTCTGCTCGAGGTGTGACACCAGAGCCAGCCTAGGCTGCTGGCACCAGAGCCCCCCAGCAGCTCATCCCAAGTGTCCCCAAGCCCTGGAGGGACTGTCCCTGGTGCCCTCCCAGCACGGTGGCACTTCCAGGGGCTTCTTGGTGTGGGAAAGGTGTCCCCTCTCTGTCCCCTGCCACTGTACCTCCTCCAGAAAGCCGAGGAGGAACTCCCGCGTGGTGCTGTTGGAGGTGAAGAAGCCGTGGATGGCTTTGTGGAGCACGTTGGAGTTGAGGCGGCGGGAGGTGGAGGGCAGGGCCCGCAGCGCCCGCAGGACGTAGCGTGGCTCCTTCCCCGACACCGCCTTCTCCAGCTGCTTCACGTGCTCCTTGATATCTGCGGGGCAGG